CCTGCTGTACCATAAGGAGCTTCCATTGAACACAGGGGGCGCTGTTGAGTAGTGCATGGTATTTTGTTCTACCCAGGGGCTGAGTATTTGCAGCTGTACCTGCAAAGACTCCTATAAATTAAACGGAAAATGTTCAACTTGTGTTTATGTAATAGAAAACTGAACTCCAAAGCAACGATGGGCATCAGGTAAACGTATCCAATACAATTTACAGACATAATTGAAAGCATTACAGCCTAATCAGACATCTAAAAGAAAAGCATGCTCAAATGAAATGTCTACAGAATCATTAGTTGGCAGCCATTCTATTACAATCACACATAATGTCAGTGGTGCCTTGAGCCTGTGCCAGTGACAACAGCATAAATTCTGCATCTCATTTCAGCGGTCATAAAATTAATGATCAGTTTAAAAATACTTCTTTGTAAAAGTTATTGCACAAAGAAAAGACATGAATGTGTCCCTGTTATGTACTCACAAGGATAATTATGGGGTTGTTGCTCATTAATACTGTTTCTTGTTTCCCCAGAAAAGCATTTGATTTATCCCACAACTTTCAAAAGTTTAATTAACGATACAAAGTTAACAGTCTAAAAAGACAATGATCCGAGACTTCCCTTCTCATATTCAGTGGCAACTAAAATATTGCAAAACCAAGGCTTACTCGTACCACAGCAGCGTATTTCTCCGAAAAACATTTTAATTTTATAATAGTTGGGTTCAAATCGCTATTGAACCTTCTGTTTTATATGACTCATCATCAATTAACATTTCCCTGAATGCCTAGAGATGAAGCCCAACAGCAACTGAACAGCCGTGATCTCTACCGCCACTGAAGCTGATTTAATCAATTTACTGCTTGCTTTATCAAATACAGTCTTATTTTCAACACAGTCAGGTAAACCTTAAACTAAATAATATACCTAAAACTTAGATATAACCACTTCCTCTTACAGAGGATGAAAGACAAACTTGGGGGCGGGGAGAATTACTTGAGTAAAAACAAATTAATTTCTAATTCTCTACTCAAGTTCATTTGTCGAAACTAATTTCAGAAGTAATAAAATACAGCTAAATAGACAGAACTGCGCATTTAACTTGTCATTTCTTAAAGGAATCTGCAGTTTAATTCTTAAAGCTTGGAAAGATTTAGGTCAGCACAAATAAGAAGCTTCTCTTCACAGCTCCTCTACCACAGGGGTGCTAATTTATAGCGAGCAAACACGAGGCAGACTTTCCAAGTAAGAAGAGCACTGCTCAAGGGCTGCCTCTGCCACATACTTCTACTACCGGTCCCCAACCCCAGGCGCACTTAGCACATGTGTGCAAAGCCAGGCGTGGGGGAGGGCTGCAAGTTATCTGCTCAGATTTCATTGAGGAGCTAACTTTCAACAGAACATAGCCTGTGTCAGGAAAGGGGAAAGAAAAGAAATTAAATGTCGTCCAAACTTCTGACTTTTCTGTTGTTCTTAAGGATTCCATCAGAACACACTAAAATGGGTTCTTTCTTTCCTCCCGATCTTGCTATTTTAAAAAGTAGTTTTGTTCATTAATAAACTTAATAATATAAGTGAAGTCAATGAAAACTGCTTTCTAAGTAAATCTATACATATTTAGCAGTATCACTGGAGTCTTAAGGACAAAATTCTATTCCCTTTTTTTTTTGATTCGAGGAAAATTTTTTAAAGGAGCCAGCTCTGCCAACCGAAAGGGAATTGAAAGCAACAGATGTGTGTTTCCTGGAGCACTAACAGTTTACAAATTTGAAAAGTCTCCTCTTGAAGTATTTGTCACATGTGCATATGTATGCCCTTCTTTTAATAATTTATACTTTCCTCTAAACTATTTGGAAACTGAATTATAAATCAAGATTGACTTAAATCCTTTTGATAAATGAAGTTGGATCTGAGAATATAATGTTTACTGAACACCTGCTATACCTTCACATTATCTAAATCATTCTGTACAGAAAATAATCCGAAGTCATCACTGGAGCAGAGCAAGACTAACATGAGCACAAGATACAACTACAAGTAAAGCTTTTTTATCATGTACCTAATAATTAGAAAATTCTATTTTGTACTCGGTCAATAACAGTCTTTACTCAATTATTTCAGGCCTTATTTAAGAAACCTATGACCTTGTTACGTGACACAGAACAAATTCTAAAATAACCATAATTCTAGTCTAAAATAATTCTAAAATGAACATAATCCTAGTGCAAAAGCTTATAATCAGATATACATTATATTACTAGGCTTTATGGCAACTGAGACTAGGAAACCAGGGTTAGCTCATAATTCTGTACGTGTGCAGCATTTGAAGGACACGAGCAGGAACTCTCTATTCCAGATGGAACAGGCAATGTTTCCAATGAGTAACAGGGACTAGGCTAAGCAAGATGGGTCCTACCCGCTTAGATTCAAATATTTCTGATGTACAGACAAAATTAAGGAATTTAGAAAAGCAACTGATCATTTATTCTAAAATGACAATCTGTCAGGCCTCCTCAATGGCGATCTAGGCTTCAGGACAGAGGAGGGGAAAATGAGGACCTTAAGAACTTAAAGGAATGAAACGGGAAGTGTGAAGGCCACAGCTTGCCATGCAAATGAATATAAACAGCAAGTGAAAAATTAAAAATTAATTTAACGGACAAGCTTCAATAGCTAGGAGCCACTGCAATGAGTTTCTTACAACACAAACTATTCTCATCCCAAAAAAACGGAATTTAAAAAATTCTTTTAAATCTACTGAGACCTCTGCAGCTTTAGTGTATCAATTCAACTAGTTCTAAGACCTGAAATACTGCAAACTGTAAATTCTGTACTGTTCAGTCTTACGGTGGGGGGTAGTGTCTATAGTATACAGGAGGAGGAGATGCGGGACGGAGGTAAGGAAGGGTATTAAACAGCTGAGAACCTTAGAGAAACTGATAGTTCACTTAATAGAAGTGGGTAAATCTGAATTAATTCATTCTATTTAAGAACTCACTCCCTGGTCCTTTTACCTCCGAATATGATATTAAGATGGTAATTAACTGTCACTTGAAAAAAATAAAATATGTGAAAGCAACAGAAGTGTAAAGGTAGACGGAGGGAAACAGCCTCTGTTCACTTCATTGTGACCCCACACTGACCTGGGGGGGGGTAGGAAAATAGCCAGAAGGAATCTACCCGGGTCTCCTGGGCTGAGGACAATCCAAAGCCCCAAAGCGCACATGGATGCAACGAATTTACTCAGTGTAGAATCTGATCATTAATAAATTCCTATTTTTGGAAAAAAGTATCTTGAATAATTACTTTGTAACTATTAAGTGTGCACTACTATTTACTATTCCTAACAAACTACAGGAATGGTCCTTTTAGAAAAAAGCTGAATATACTTTGAGGGGAAAATGGCATAAAAGTGCTCAGCTTCTCCTGTTTCTCCAAGGTACACATGGAATTCATCCACAGGCTCCCTCTGAACAGGCACTCGTGGTGATCAGTTAGCTCAGTAGAGCAGTATTGACTACAAATGACTCATTCGGAGGAAAATGATTATGGGGAATCTCTGAATTCTGTGGACCTGACCTCTTATTCCAGGCTTATCTTTCAGTTTCTACCAAAAACTTCTGTTCTCAGTAATGTATCTCAGTAATGTAATTTTAATAACCACACACCTGAACAAGTCCTAAGCCAGGACACCAAAGGGAAAGTTCTACCCTATTACTGAATCATATGCAATCATACGACGACTTCATATTATCATCCTTTCTGAGCTTAAATTTTTTAATGTATAAATAAGTCACAATGTGTGTGATAAGTAATCCCCAGTACAAAATATGCCTTTTAAGAAGAGGCAGAATCTAATATTCCCCTATAATCAATACACTGTATAAAAATTATCATAATTAAAATGTATATATTATTTCCATATTTGACTAAGCAAAATGCAACATGATTAAACCCATAGTTTAGGGTTTGCTGTAGACTATAAAAAAGTGGGTATTTGTGGGAAGGAGGAGTTTCCCTCTCTTCTCTTTAACAGTGTTAAAAAATTAATATGGAAAAAAAAAATCTCATTCCCTCCAATCACAATGATCTTAATGATTTAATGTGAAAAGTAGTGTGGTTTCCTTTTAACTGTTTGATTTTAGGCTTGTCTGGCTAAGTACTTGGTTTATTGAAACTGTCACTACTCTCTCACTTATCAGTTGGCAGAGATATGAATTACTCTGCGGTATCTGCTAACCCCAGTTAGAAGATGTCATACTGTTTTCCCCCAAATGCAGATCCTAGCTCCGCATAGGTTAACTGACCTCATGTTGTGACCCTGAGACCAGCATTCACGGGATTCAGGTCATGACCTATGAATTAGCATCATGCAAGTAAGGGGCGTACCCAGTTTCCCTTAAAGAACTGAAGACGTAAGAAGTAGGAACTTCCTATCCTTTCCTGATTTGCTGTTCAGTGTGCTAAGCAGCTGTCTCTCAAATCTCAAGGAACGCAAGCAGGTTACCAGCACACTCACAGATTTCCAAAAAATGACACTGAATTCCCTCCTTTGAAAATTTCCGTGGCATACATTTATTCATAACAAAGGGTAATAAAAACCAGGATGTGAAAAATATTTTACTCATGTTCTCAACCAAAATTGACCCTGTTTTTAAAACAATTATCTTTAACAAACATTATCGATGAGTACCCAGCCACCGGGCCTCCTGTTCCCATCACCACTATGAAGTCATCTCTACAGTGTCAAATGGTGTTGGGCTGGTATCACCTCTGCTTCACCAAATTATTCCATGGATAACTGCAAGTATGTGCCTTTCTTATCCAATTTCTGCCACAATGTACTCTAAGACACAGAAAACCTAAGAATGTTAACTACAGGGGATTTCTTCATCAGAAGGCTGTGCAGAGTAGATTCCGGATATGCTTTTTAATTTTTTTCTCAGCAGGGGGAGCTAGCACTCTCATCTTGAAAGTCTAAGTGTACAAGTCGGATATTTAAATTTTGATTCCAACTATAACGTTTCAGTATGTATTAGATTATCTTATTGAAAATTTCCACAAGGAAAAATAATCTCAAGTTTGACAAACTTGAAAATTTACCTTTGTCTTGAAATTCCGGAAGATAGCTGCAAAATAAAACAAAGAGCATTGTATTTTAAAATGAGGACTGACAAATCAAAACAAGGTCTAATAAGTGACAGCAATTCAAAACTATTTTAAAATGTATATTACAAATACATATTTGGAGACAAAAACTACTTCCTATACTGAAATGACAATTCCAAAAGGTCTGTGGATTTATAATAAAAGGATTTTTAAAGATCTAAGTTACAGTAGTAAAATCAGAACATATATTTAATACCTACAACTTATATTTATTCATTTCAGTATCTGGCGGTTATTTTCCATAATTATATTAAAATTTTCAACCTAACTATGTCTTATCATTTAAAACAAATATATCCTCACCTAATCAAAATAAACCGTTAAATTTTGCTAGAATGCTTACAAAAATACATATTCAAGAACCTTCACAAAAAAGGGTATTGTGATAACCATGTCTGTTTTTAAAAGCTATTATAGTGAAAATATATATTGTGCTTTAAAAATACTTTACAGCAATTAAATAACATTAGAATTTTAATTCAATAATAAATTCTTTATTAAAACACTAATTACAAAGTTGCTTCTAAGTAAAAAATTAGTAATAAAAGGCAAGTAAGTGACTTACATAGACTTTACATCTTTTATCTTCTTAATAAGAGATTCTCTCTTTTCCTTTGCTTTCTTGGACAAATTTTCCCCTTTCAGTGTGTCTGCTACAAATGTTTCAACATCTAAACCATAAAATATAAGAAACAGGATACAAATTGTAAGAAAGAATCATTTTTTGTGAAGACAAATAGGACAGTGATTGTTTCTACCCATAAGTGTTAATATCTGTACAATCTGTTACAGTTATTTATCAATCCAAAGCATAACAGTTGAAGTATGTTTCAAATAGTAAGTTGGACAAATTTGTTCACCACTTAGCTAATAAAATCTGTATGCTCTACTTATGCTTAGCACAGCAAATGCTATTGGGATGTTTGGCCTCATTAAACTAGGAAGAGCCACACAAGTTTTAATACACTATGGTGCGCCATAAAACAAATTCTCTCATATAAAAGCAAGCACAGAGCTTTTACACGTGTTACTACCATTTTATAGTATTTTGCGAGTTCCTGTATGACTGGCTCATTCACAGTATTATATCAGTATAAGCTAATGTCTCTGGCAAGGGCCTGTTTTTCCCACTGTAATCTATTTTCAGGTGTTTAATGCTTTAAAGGGAAAAAGTAAATCCCCTTTTCTGGCCAAGATTCCCCAAATCAAACCCTCCTCCTTCCTACCTGCCTCACCCACTCTGGCCAGCCACCCTCGAATAAAAAGATAAGCAAGTGTGTGGTTTTGTGTGTTCTAGCTTCTTGCCTTGGTATTACCACCCAAAAATATTTCTTTAAATAAAGGAATAAGTAGCAACAATAGATTCATCCACTATTTTAAAATATGGTAACAGAGAAATACGATTTCTATGGCTTCATACATTTCCACATAGCCTCTTGTTTTAAAAAAATTGGTAAACTTCTAAATTATTCTGCTACCTAGTTCTCTGTAGTATAAAATTCCAACAAACCCTTAGTGGTGTGACTTTATAATAGCTCCATTCTTATCGTTCATGAAATACTGTACAACTTCAAATTAATTTTATATACAGAATTTCAAATCTCACTTTGAGATCTCTAATACAGAGGCGACACCATTAAAAATTTTCAATTAGGCATGACTATAAACCATCTATATTTCATAATGAAGAAATGTGTGTATGTTTTACTTTCTTTTTACTTAGCTACTTTGTCTCCTAACTCACGCTGATGAAAATATAATATCAAAACATACACTTATATGACAAGTATTAATTTAAAGCAGTACAATGCTCTTTCAACTGTACTTATAATTATTTAAAACCTAGTATTTGAGATAGAATGTAATCGATTTAAAATTCTTGATTACAAAGGTACCTTGAGCCAATGAGCAAAGCTGATTAAACCGCTAGTCTACACATTCACAATAAATGTATTAAGGTAATTTTTCCCTAAATCAATATGACAAGTGAAAGAATTAAAACTTAATCTTGACATATTTTTTTAGACAGCTTTCTGGTTTTAATGTTAAAAGTAAGTATGAAAACAAACTGAAAGCAAAGTGGCACAGCTTCACTTTCTTGGCCTTGCCCCTATTTTTGAAGTGGACACGGGGACATAATCCAGTACCAGTGCAATCAGACCCAGACTTCTCAAGCGAGTTCAAAATAATAAAACAGTAAAAAAA